AACCTCAATAGAACTTACTTTATCACATGACCCCAAATCCCTCAACACCAGTCTCTTTACCACAAAAAATGCGTGGGCTTTGTCTGATGAGTTTAAACTGGTGCCGTTTTCTTCATCTTCATGTGTTATTTGAAACAAATTTTGTCTTGTTTACTTCAGTAGTATACCTCTGCCATGTGAAATGAATTTGAGTCGAAGTACACTATGATGCACCCAGATTGAAATAATCCAACTTTCTTTGGATCTTAACGCATGAGATGAGTGATACAGCAAATAGATAATTACTCAAGGGGCTGGAACTCCTTGTTTCTCTGGAATGTTAAATACAGTATTTCTGTCAGATTTAAAAACAAATTTTTGCTTAAAAATTTATTCAAACCAATTTTACTTGTATTTCACTTTGCTAGAAATGTTTTGATCCTTCAATTGTTATTTCTTAATTGCAATTGATGAAAGGAATTAACTTTTAAGTTCCCTGCTGGTTTGGAAGATGCAAAGAGACACCAATACGTGTTGTTTGTATTATTGACAGAATGGATAGGTGACATTTTCTGTGGCAAGCTGGTATTCCAGAGATTTTCATTAGTACCAGAAGCTTCCTGCCGGTTTAAATTATCAGTCTTTTGTTCTCTCTATGCAACTTGCCTTGCATAACTTATGCTATATGCAAATTGTGTCTCTACTTTATTTGCAACCATAAAATTACCAATAACGTTTTCTTTAAAAATTTTGTCCACATTTCATTGGGAAAGAACATGAGGAGTGATCAGGTGAAATATTGTCATGTTCCTTATTAAGAGTGTCTGAACTTCCAGAATGAGAGCTATAAAATTTCCCAATTTATGTTTGATTTGTCTGTCAAAAAACTACAAATTTCTTCAAATAGGCAGCCAAGCCAGTGCCCATGATTGCATAATATTCAATATGAAAGTTCCCTTTTGACGAAAGTCTCTGCATTTCTCTTAAGTCTGCTTGGTGTAAATCATCTATTTTCATAAAGAGATCAACAAACCTCTCCACATTATTTTAATCTGACTTTGTTCATTCTTGTTTCCAGGAATGAAAAGGCTTCTGGAGATATTTTGGTTTTCATCCTCACTGATAATATCAGCCTTACTGGTTCTTTGTTGTTTGGTTTGCAATAAGAGTCTTTTTAGACCATCAGATTGTCACATAACTTTTGTAATGAAATATGTTAGAGAAAAAGGTTGCAAAGAGAGTATATGATTTTGTGGTGCAGTTGAAAGGATAAATGAATGTGACATTTATTAGGAAATAATTGATTCATTTAACTATTTATATTACAAATGGAAGCAGAAACTAGTACTTTTGTTTTAGTTCACAACTTTGCCACCTTTCAGACAATATGTGTAGAAGCTGAGTACCAGTATGTCAACTTCTGATCTGATGAAAAGCAAGGAGAGAGAATGTGAACTAAACATTCCCATTTCTGGTCACTCTTTTGGGTTTATCAGGCAACAGGCTGGTTTTTCTAGTCTTTGTACACACCAGTCTCCAATCATGGTGAATTCTCATCTGTTAAGGCTTAAGGGTAGTTTGACCAAAGTAAAGTATTCAAATCTTAATGAAATTTGTTGCATCATTGATCATATCTGATGATATATTTCAGACACTAATGATTGAAAAAAATTTCTTTACTCTGATAAAATCCAGTTATTCCTCCATTTCTACCAAACTCTCCTCTGATGTAACGACCTTATCTCTAGTACTAACGTTAGCTTACTTTTCTTTACTCGACATTGACCTTTGTTGTTTTGGTAATCGGCCCCGCCGGTTGTGATTCATGTAAAAAAAATGAATAGCTTTTGCAACAAGACAAACTTCTGTAAACTTAAATTAATTCATCGCTAAAGTTGCAAGTACATTGCACCAGCAGTATAATTGAAGCTCTACAAAACACTCACAGGAAGTGAGTACTTCAAATGATGAACGATAACTTGGGAAAGCAATGACGCGATAAAGGTATACTATCCAATACGTCTGTGCTCTTTTGCAAGCCTCTTGCATCCTTCACAAATAACATATACATCAATCGCCCAAACAATCTTAAAACAAAGACTCGAAGTTGTTTACATACTTTTTTGTTTTTTGAAAATCACTTCCTTCCACAAACCACACAACAATTTTAAGACTTTGACGCTTCCATCTAAGTTTCAGAGGGAAAAATTAAGAATGGTTTTCTAAAATACTTGATCCTTTCCTGGTTTCCGACGCATTTTCTTCTTTAGCGATTATTTAGCGAGAAACCGACGCAGGCGCATACCAGCGGTGTTTCGCATCAAACAAAAATTTACAAAGCATGCGGAAACATAGTGCCCCAGCCTTCCTAAGTAGAGCTTGATTTTCGTGAAGAAAGGTTGAGTATGTTGCAGACAATTGCTAAAGAGTACAAGGAATTAATAACCCTGGTCTACTATTTTATTAATACCGCTCTTACAATCCTCGGCTTTGCAGCTGGAACTATTTACTTATGGCACAGAAATCGAAGGGACGAGGAGAGGCGTGCAAAGGAGGATAGGGAACACCAGGAGAGACGTGAACAGGAGAATCGGGAATACCAAGAGAGACGTGAACAGGAGAATCGGGAATACCAAGAGAGACGCGAACAGGAGAATCGGGAACGCCAAGACAGACAGAAACAAGAGGATCAGGAACGCCAAGACAGACGTGACAAAGAAGAGCGAAGAGACCATCAGAGGCGAGAATGGCGTCAGTTCACGGAAATAATTTTTAAAGATTACAGCAGTCTGAAACGAAACCAGATCCTAGAGAACATATTAAAAGTAAAGAAAACTTTTGACAAATTTCCAATTCATTCTGAAGTAACTGGTCTTGATGTTTTGAGATACTGGCTCGCTGATGATCACTACCAAAATGTTTCGATCGAATCACCCCAGCTGAGGGCCCTTCGTGAAGACCTCCACACGATCTACCGGTCGCTAAGTTCCTGCTCTTCGTTGATCCATTTAGGAGAAGTGCCCAAAAATACGAAGGAAGAATTAAGAGGTGTAGTGGAAGAATTGGGGAATGCAGCAAAGCCTTTCTTAACTGGTGATAAACTAGAGGTCGCTTTGACTTGCCTCAAAAACTTTGGTGGGGGCAAACCATATGCAGGTCCTGAAAGAAAAGTGCCCGATAAGCCACTTGAAGATATTGTTCCATATGTAAATAGCCTGAAGTTAGTTAATAATGCTCGTCGGGAGCCAAACCAATCTGACTTTTCAACACCAATAGCACCAATTGGTACAAAAGATTATAGCCAGTGCACCAAATTTTCACTAACAATGATGTGGTTTGACAAGGAACATTTTTCCCTCAGGGAACTCCATCACATTCTAGAAGTGGAAGAATATAGGACTTATCATACTTGTATCAAAGAGTTTAAAGCACAACAAGTAAAGTCACCTCTAAACTTGACTGACCCTATTGTCAGCAAGGATAGCCATAAAGAAGTTGTTGCAAAGGTGCTGCATGAGATACGTTATATCCATTATCTTCAGAGCAAACTAGAGTCACCAAAGATTGACGGAAGAATTGTGAATATACTAAATCAGCTTTTTGAGAAAATAACTAAGTCACTACCGTTATGAAGCCATCAAAGACTTTATTAAAGATGTATAGGTAATCTTAAACTAATTGCGGATGATCCTCCCAATCATATTTGCAGTTCTGAATTTTTTAGAAATTTTTGCATCTTCTGGGACCAAGTGCAAGGAATGTTTACAATTGAAGCTCAGAAGCGTCCCTTGCTTTCTCTTTCCCTTGCACTCTGTATCAGATGGGGAGAACAGTGAAGACCACCCAGTATATCTTTTTTAACCCTTTAACTCCCAGGATCTGATTGTTAATTCTCACCTCTAGCTGCTACACATTTCCTTTTAAATTGGTTGCAAGAATTTTGCGTTAGATCAGGATAACAACTTTTACCTGATATATGTGACAATTCTCACTACCTGTTTGCTTGATAGTGGGTGGATATTGTTGGGAGAAGTTACATGTGAATCACTTCTGGGAGTTAAAGGGTTAAGAATCTCCAGTATGAAGTGGGAAAGAGAGCATCAATTCCTGCATTTGACTACCAATTAAGCATCATAAGAAAGATGTTGGCAGTTTTCAGACTGGTTACCATACAGTTTTAGAAAGTAGTCTTTTTGTTGCTATTGTTTGCATTATGTTTATTTTTATTAATAGTTTTCTGAACTTTAGGCACAGCCAATATTAATATTTATCCATTCCTTATTAGGCTTAACCAGAGTATGCATGAGCTCCACGATTTCTCATTTTCCTTAATTAATGTACTTCCTTGAAATATTAGTTCCTAGGTGCTTGTTGAAAATTGTGGCCAGAGGAGGGGGGCTTTATGGAAGTAGGACACTTCATTGAAAGGGGGGTGCTTCTCAAGTTAGCACAGCAATAGGACAAAAATTTAAAATTGAAAGAACAGATAATGCACATAAGAAATTCTGTAAGCATGTGGAGATAGAAATCACTGGAACTAGGAAGAAACTATTTTCCTGTACTGATTCCTCTGTAGTTTACACTTAAAAAGTTGTAAATAAAGTGGCAATAGAAACAGGTTTTCCTTGTGTTCCTACTATTTACAAAATTGAAGGAGGAGGGTGGGGGGCTTTTTCAAGAGGAGCACTTGTTTGACGTTATGACCTAGTAGGTGGGTACTTATTTGGAGGGGGGTTTGGTGCTTTCTATGGGGTGGGTGCTTATTTGCCCAGCTTTTAGTAGAGCTTGGTCAATGTGTAA